ACGATGCAAGGGGACGTCGATAACCCTATTCACATAAATACGCATATAGAAAATTCAACAACAAAAACTCGCATTTGCAAACGAGCCGAACGTAAGTGGCCCAAGATGAACGCACGAAAACGAATGAATGCCAATGTTACGCCGACCGAAGCAGCGACGTAGCAGATATATGTACATATGTACTTGTTCTGGCAAAGCCATTGTTGAACTTTCTAGTTTTTATTATAACCAAGCAAATTAACTCACAAAATATTTAGCTGACATACAAAACTGTGAAATTAGCTAAATTTGTTTAACGATTTGGGATAATTCCATTCCATTTACTTGCCAAAACAAGGCTCTGGCATTTAACTTTCAATTTAATGTATCGATACCTGAATAGTATCTAGTCATCAGTGCTTCTGCTGCGCAAACACACGCTTCTCTGCTTTCCCTTCTTTCGGTTTTTGCTACTGCGACGCTTCTTCTATTCGCTAAACTGGATTTCAGCGTTTATATTTTTCACATTGAAATCCGGCATATGCCGGTTTTTTTCTTCGTCGCATTTAATAAAAACACTTATATTGAAAATTTTGGAGTGAAAATGTTATTTACACAAATTTTAATTCAACCAATTAATTAAGTTCACTCCTCGTATATTTTTCGACACAATCCGTGCCCTCCGCCGAGAAACCAGAGATGTTTATTTTTCGCTGAAATAGCCTCTGACGTAGAATGACATTAGAAAGCGAGAATGCACAAATGTTGAACAGAGTCGCATTTGCATTGCCATCACGCCTATAACAATTTGTTTACAGTGGGTTTATTCTATAAATATTAATCTGCAGCTAATATAACAAATCCGTCAGGTTTCAATTCCTACCGAAATATCGTAATAGGGGTCTTCATAAAAAGTGATAAACCCTTGATAAAGTAATAAACTTTGTATGGAAATCTATTTAACCAAAGGTTTACAACTTTATCAAACGACTTTGGTGGATAAAAGTATAAATTTCAGCAAAATTCAAATTTTACAGTTTGCCAGGTAGTCGCTTTCGCTACGAACACATAAAAGGAAATGAACACAATGTACGAGGTAAAAGCATGTTCACATTATCGTAATTTACGGTTCATTTGTAATTTATAAGCAAATCATGCTTAAATCAATTAATTTCGCTTTGTAAAATCTGTCAATAAATTGAATAGAAATGGAATAATTTATTATAAATCAAGAACCAAATGAAGAAAAAAAAGATTTTTCATTTATTTTAGGCCTCACAGTTAGGGAAATTTGAAAAAAATGCCTAAAGCTATGCAACCATTTGTTTTTTGAAATCAAGTACAAAGCACACCTACTACGTTTATGCGACAGAATTCATGAAATCTTCATTTAATGAATTCAAAAATGTTTCCGTTTATGCATAACTCGCGAATTCATGAAATGAAGTGTTTTGAAGAAGTGACAGCACACTAGCGAGAAATTAAACAGTAGGGTTGTGGATTTTTTGGCCTTTTTCTAAATTTTCATAAGCCGTTGGTACCAGGAAATGGTCCTTGTTAATCTACGTAACTTTTCTAGTGCTTACATCAAAATATGCCACTACATGATTTTGAATCTAAAAACTTCATAACCCTAGTAAACAGCTGTTTCTGACACGTGGCGTTGCCGGACTTGCACTTACGAGGCAAATTTGATGCGCAAATGACATCGTAAACTTCAGTGTTGCCGAGGAGCAGAAAATTTTATACTAAAATGTACTATATTATATCGTAAACAGTATAGCCAACTTTTAATTTTCAAAAGGTACCACAACTTGGAAAAAAGCGTTTTACCACACTAAAAGCACAATTTTTTTTTTTTATCAAAAGATACTTTTTTCATAACAGTTTGTAGTTAACAAAAGTAAAAATATATACATTATTTACAAGTATAAATCAATATACAAAACTTTTTCGCTCATAACGATTGAATAGCCTCTACCCATGCTATTATGATTCATGCTTACAGCCCTGTATGCAGCTCTCAAGAAAACGGTCAAGAAAAAATTGCCATTATTTCGCGTGTGTGTCCAAGGAATTTTGACATTTTTGATACCTCACAGCCTGTTGCCTCACTCTTTCCTCAAGAAATAATGGAACGGGCATATATTTCTGTTGCAAACCTGGGTTGCCTTGTGCTNCGTAGTAAATTTCTTAAGAACTGCGTACTGCCTTAAGGAAATTTGACTCAAGAAAATTTCTTAGCCATTTCTTGTACGTCATTTTATATGGAGTTTTTGCTTTTCTTGAGAGCTGCATACAGGCCTTACGAAGTAATAGCTACGTACTGCACATTAAAACTGGTATATCACGAGAAAGAAAAATCGAATCGCAACAATTGAAAATGAAATTTAAAAGGGAAGGGTAATTCTAAATGATGCCCTAAGTAGAATTGAGCAAAAAAAATTTTTTTTTCATAATAGTGGTCTTCCCTCAAACTCGTAAAAGCCTCGTAAAGCTCGTAAATTTACGAGCCTCGTAAGACAACTGTGAAAATTTGGTGGAGGTCTATTTACGAGTCGCTCGTAAAATTACGAGACAAATTTTGATGCGTAAACTTTAGTGTTGCCGAGAAGCCGAAATTTTTGTACAAAAATGTATGGTTAAATAATGAAAATAAACGAAAAAATTATAAGCGAATAAAATGAATGAATTTCATCAACTAGCTGTATTGACTTAGGTTTTTTGAAAATTTTCGGCATTTTTAATTGTTTCTAAGCCAAGAGCGATAGAGACAAGATGGCGGGATGTTATGGAAAATACTACGAAACAAAAATTACTTCACAAAATCCTGCCTGATCAGTCACTTTACGTAATTATTTACACCTTTTCTCGCGTTCCCATAAAAGCTTTGTAAAGTTACGAGTTTTACGCAGTTGTAAGACTTTACGAGCTTAAGGGAATCCCTTAACTATAACCTCAAATATCGCGAAAAACCGTGTTTTTGGCACTTTGCGATTAGGATATCTTCCGACGTGTTGGAAAAATTGTGCAGCCAGATTTGGCATATTTTTTGTTTGAGATATTTCAAATTATTTCATGTTTTAACTATATATGAGAAATACGAGTTCAGAAAAAAGCCCTAAAAAAGGCACTAGGCACTAAACCTATTCTTTTGGCGTTTTCATTTTCAAAAAGCACTAAATCTAGTGCTTAAAGCACCAAGTTGGCAACTATGGTCGTAAACTTACCAGTCGTACAAGGTTGAAGACTTTATGAGTTAAAGGGAATCCCCTAAATATATATATATTTGTGGTTTTAAAACATTAAAATCGAAGGATTATATCTTAGGCCATAAGCAATAACCGCCTAAGTCGACTATCGTATTCTGCAATTTCTATTCCATCTGTATGTAAAATCCCCATCTCGCCAGCTAGGCTATTCAAAAAGAGATATAAATGGACATATTTTGGTTTGGACTGTAATCCAAGAGCGGGTGTGAATCGGTAACAAAGTTCGCTGCGAGTAAATTTTTGACAAGTATGAGGTGAATAAAATTTCACTAGCTCATGAGGCTAGTGAAATTTTTGACAAATGTATGGAAAATTTTGACAACTGCAAAGATTGTTGACGTGTATAATTTTTTTGCCCCAAATTTAAGTAAAAACAATGAAATAGTAGGAAATGGGGCCTCTGGTGGCAAAAATTAAGAAGTATTACACTATATTAAATATTTCTTGTAAACTAATTTATTTAATGTTTTAAAAGCTTTTGACCACAGATATTTTGTCAATACAGTAAAACCCGCTTAAGTAAAAAAATGTCAGCTTTTTGAGGTACTTAGGCGGGTTGGGTACTTAAAAGGACCCGCTTAAGTACCTCGATGTGGGTACCTCGTGTGCGGCAATTCACAATTAAAAAAAATTAAATTCCTTAGTACTGTTAAGTGGCTCATGTCTCTAGTTCTTTCTAATCCGTATCTAATCATTAGTTAAGTTACTTACTTAAAGATTATTACAGTAAGTAGTAAGGATTTGACATGGATTAGACAAGAGTTAGAGACGCGAGCCACTTAACAGTAGCCCGAGTTTTTATTTTTTATANCCCACTTGTGATTACATATATGTATCTCGCTAACCGTTCTAGCAATTTGTACCAAACTCGGTATGGTTATTGTGCTTGCCACATAAAAGCAAACCGTTGAAAATTGTTGAAATCGGTCTTAAATTACGGCCGCTTTTCAAATAACAATAAATTTCAGAAATGCTTGAAATTTCAATATGTCGAAATTTAAGGACGCTAATTTACTTAAAATGTATACACCCCGGCTTATCATGTAGCGGTAGCTTTCGGCAAGGTGGAAAACATATCTTTAATACTTGCGCCGGGTATTTAATGTTCGGCTCCGCCCGAACTTAGACTTTCTTACTTGTTGAATTTCGAATGGTGCCGTTATTGCAGAGTACCATCGATATGTAGTGGTATAGGTCGTACTCAGTGATGCCAGACATTCTCTGTTAAATTACCCACGAAAATCGGGAAAAAATATCTCAATTACCCACATCTTAAAAATGTATCCCAGAAATCTGGCATCACTGGTTGTACTATCGTAATATGTACATATATGTACATATCCTTACCTTAATTCACAAAGGCCCTAACTAACAAATTTTTTTTTTATTTTTCAGGAGAAGGAAAGAACATTATAAAAAGAGTATCAAAAACAGGTACAGCTTCTTTAAAAAGGGGTTGGTAACTCCGTTGTTTTTGGTACTAGCACTTTAAAATTTTTATTGAAGGTGTACTTTAATACCTCCTCCCAAGTTCTGTGAAAAAAAACGCAGTTTCGAAAAAAGTATTGGTTAGGGTCCTTGTAAATTAAGGTAACGATATTTATAAAAAATCTATTTAAAATGCTTCATAATCAACAAATATGCTTGAAAATACCATTTTAAAGCTTTCTCATCATATAAATCGGATTTTTCTTTATGAATAGCCTTATTTACCAAACTATTAATTCGCTTTGTATATGTACTATTTACCTTATTCGGGTGGTGGCTAACGTTCACCTCACTGCGTCTCATTGATTCCATACAGTCTGAGAAGAGAGGGTGGTTGCTTGCTGCGGGCTCGCACAATGCAACGCTCCCTCATCCACATAAAAGTGTTGACAGTGCTCCGAGGTAAAAATTAGTTTATCCAATATATCATTGCGTGATATTTGAGTCTTAACAGAGCTGGGCCTTGGCCCACTGGCCAATTTATGCATTTTTAATCTGCAATAAAAGGAATGGCGTTTAATTTAGTATTGCTGTAACAAATAAATTTTATTTTAAATAGTCTCATTAGGTAAAAAACTTGCGAAACAACTGTGTGCTGTTGTTTGAGGTCATCGAGTAAATGTAGTGATAATTAGAAAAAAGGGAAACGGAGTTTTTTTCCAAGCAGCGACAAAAAAATATTCTTTATTAAACCGTTTAGTTTCTCACTGCCCTATCCGAAGAGTGAGATGTCGGTTCCTGATGAAATAACACATCTTCCTTTGCCCAATGAGGCCACACTGCCTCTTAATTTCACTGCTCAATTTTTCGTTTGTTTTCTGCCTTTTTAACGCCGAACTTTCCGGCCGAAGGAACAGCTTTCGCTTCCGCCTTAACCACTAGTTTCTCTGTCTCTTGGTCAGAGGAACGAACATTCGAATGTTTGTTGTTCTATTGCTAATAGCAACAAGTAATTTTTAAGCAAAAAACAAAACCGACTTCAATTCTCATATAAAAATTATCGGATCTAAACAAAATTAGTATGGGACCAGCCTTGAGGTACCATCTTGCCGATGAAATCGGTTAACGTGGTCCAAAGTTATGCGCTAACATGCATAAAAAAAAATATTCCGACGAATTGATAACCTCCTCCTTTTTTGAAGTCGGTTAAAAATATGCCCAAGATAATAAATGTTGGTTACTATCTTAGGCTCGCCCAAGTCCATTAAAGTTCAATGTGTTAAAAAAAAAAATTTGTCTTGGCTTACTTCGATCGCATGCTCTACAAAAAGGTTAGGATACCGAATTATTTAGGACTAATACTTTCAGCGATAATTGCACCTTTGTAAAAAAAAAATAGTAATTAATTTTGAATTTTTATTTACGGATGGAAAATATTTAATAAATTCAATTTCTCACAAAAAAGTCCTTTTTTTTAAGAAAGCACACAAACGTTATTTTTTCATAAAATGTTTGATAAGATCAAATTTCAAGTCTTTTTATGTAAACTTTAATATAATGAAAAAAAATCAAATATAAATACTTTTTAATATACCACGTAAGATGTTTGAAATAGAGGTAAAACCACCCCGCTTACTACGCAACGGTAGTTTTCGGAAATGTGAAAAGCTATATTTAATACTTGCGCCGGGCATTTAATGTTCAGCTCCGCCCGAACTTAGTATTTTTTACTTGTTTATATATGTAACTCCTCTATCTATGTATGCTCTGAATATAAAAGAATGTTCAAATGCAGTAATCTGTTAAAGTAAAATTTTCGGATGTTCATGAAAGGTATGAAGACTTCGGCATAGCCGAAGACAGCGCCGCTTTTACTTGTTTATTTTACATCAGAAGCAAAAAAACATTTAGGGGATTCCCTTAAACTCGAAAACCTCGAAATAACCGTCAACGTTTTTATGCATGGCACTTTTCGCATGCCTAGAAAATTTTCTAGGCAAACTAGGCGCGAAAGCACCCTCGAAAAGTAGTTTGTAAATTTTTTAAGACCAACAGTAGAAATAAAAGAAACGCAGTCTAGTTTAAATAACGAAAATGTGAGGGAAATGGTGAGTTCCTTGTATTATTTCAGAAGTGTGAAAATAATTACATATGTATTTGAATGTATTTTCTCTTTGTATAGAATTGTGACAGCAATACATTTAATGCAACAGTTGATCGCTCGGTGAGTTAATACTGTATATACATAAACATAAACATTTAGGTGAAAGGTAATGCGCGAAGGGATCTCTTGTCCAGGTCATAAGATCTGAACCATTCGTTCCATTTTCAAAAGCGAGGCGTAAAATTAAAGCCTGTAGATGTGCTGTGAAGAGAAGTTCGGCCAAACACTAACATATGTATGTGTAAGCGCCAATCTATTATTATATTATTAGATGTGCTGTAGGGTTTAACGTTTACGAAAAGATTTGCTACCTTTGAAAAACTTAAAACTCAAATTATTTAAAAAGTTAAATCCATTATTAGAATATGCCATGCGGGTACACAGTCATATTTAATAGCAGCAAATCAAAGTTTTTTATATACATAAATTTATTTCGCAAAATAACTCTAGATATTTAAAACATTAAGGATTCAGCCAATCTAATTTGTCCTCTTCATTAAAATAATCTAAAAATGAAGAGCTAATTCCTTCCGGTGTCAAGTTTGGCTCTGCCGCCGCTTCCAAAGAAATCCGACTACCCATATTATTATTTTGTTCATCGCCTTTTAGAAAATTGTTAAGGACAGAACAAGCCTGTACTATTGCTTCGATATTTCTAAAATTCCTTAGTGCAATTGGTTTTTTGAATATTAAAAACCTTTGCCTGCAGGACCTTACTAATATTATGAAAGGGAACAAAAAAACGTCATTATGAGTGGATGGGAGAAGCTGTTGTTGGTGCATTGCATGAAATTGATAACGATGACATAGCTTTAAGCACGATCAATGCAATCAATTCCCTCTTATTTTCAGCTAGAAAAGAGGATCAGGAGTTGAAGAATACCAAGACCACAACTGCTTATCATAAATACCACAGCGCGCCCAGATGCATATATTGCAGGTGTGTGGTGTGAAAACGATCTAGTCTAACTTTTTTTTACTATATATATTACTTATTCCTGTTATTTAAAGTAAGGTTCACAATAAGTACAAATATTTCATGTGATGAATTAATAGCTGAAGTACCTTTAATTTATGTATGCTGGGGCAGTACGATTATTATTGTTGTTGTTGTTGTAGCGGCTACAACAACCCCGCCCAGATCNCGTAGTGAATGTTGCCCTATGGACGGACAACTTCTGAGATACTTCGCCGACCTAAACGGGGTTAGATCGCCGAAACAACAGCCCTTGGTCGGGTGAAACCCGAGTCATTCCGGTACGTAGAACCGGCTGTCGTGGGAATGCAGTACGATTATTCGAGCAAGTTGGTTAATTAGTTATTCGGTTAATCAATTACAAAAGGAGGATTAATCGAGTTACTCAAAATATTATTACTCCATTAAATTAATTTTGCTCCTTAAAAGAGTTTGTATTGATTATGTTTGTTTGTGCGAAATTGTATGAAATGGAAGAAGGCAACCCTGTGCTCGCCAATCAGCAAACAAAGTTTAACCACTTCTCACCAATCACCGAAATTTTTCTCTTTTGATTGCCAATTAAAATTTCATAACCACGGGCTAAGCGAGCAATGAAAGAATGTTCCCTGAGTGATGATTTGAGAGCAATAAGTGAGATTTTTCATATTTGTGTTCCGTTATAACACGCTTAAAACAAGATCGATGTCTCCCAAAGCGAAAAATCCAGGAGTATTCCCTTTAATTGAAAGGGGAGCTATATGTACCTCGTTCAAAAGAATATAAGTCCTTTAGGAAACATTTATTATGAAAACAAGACATAACATTTGTTATTGAAAAAAGAAAAGCAGGACGCAACCAATTAAATTGAACAGCCGAAGTTAAGACCCATTGGAGTGTATGACAACATTTCTTTAAACCAGAGGTTCCCAAACTTGCTTTTCTCGTAGACCCCTTTCAAAACTTTACTGGTTTCGATGGACCCCTGCTGCTCTTTCTAACATATTCCCAAAGCTCATCAAAAAATATGAAGGTTAGATCTAACGATGAAAATTTGCATTGTGGGTGAGTTCCAAAACTGAATTCGGAGTGGCAAAAATAAAAATAAAATTTTTTCTTGCGTTCTATTTATTAAAATTGAAAATGATTACGCACTTGCAAGTTTTAAAAAAATAGAGCTCGTAAATCCATCAAAGTACTATCTCACCCTTGCGGAGTTATATTTTTTAAGAGCACTCCATAAACTCCTCACATTTTTGGCTCGCTCCTGAATTTGCATGTGACGTATTTGTAAAATAGTTTACCTGTGTTGATGGCATCATTTTTATTTTTATCGCTCCGAGTTTTACTGGCTAACCAGATTGGTGTGGCTGTGGTATGTAGCAGGAGCTGTCAAAAGTTAAAATATTTTAAATTCTCTAAACTGCCCACAATATGTAGCTGTGATTGTCGTGTATTATTGCTGATGTAGCTGATATAAATAGCTAGCGAAATAGCTTGTAACTGTGGTACTACATTCTGGTTAGCCAGTTAGAGTGATGGGAAAAATATCCATCACTTACATTTTTAAAACACAAATATTTTTTTTAACGCCAACGTAGACCCCCCCGTCGATTCTCCCGTGGACCCCTGGGGGTGTGGTCTGTCGTGGTTGTGGTGCTGTGGTGTTTGTGTTGAGCTGCTCAGGTGGACTGGGCTTAGCCATGCACGCTGCTCTGTTTGAGCAGCAGGGGGCCACAAATGATGTGGTCCAGTACCGATGGGTCCGTAGTCCTGAGCAGACTCTGAGGTGACTCCACCCGTCGCAAGCATTGTACTTGAATGAGGTGGAGTTGTGGTGTAGTCGCCTCTGGTGTACACAGCAGGTGTAGGTTTCTGGCCCTGGGTTTGACTCAATGCCAACCCTCAGCAGAAGAATACGTAGCAAATGTAGCCCTATGGCCGAACAACTTCTGAAATACTTCGCCGACCTAAACGGGATTAGATCGCCGAAACAACAGCCCTTGGTCGGGTAAACCCCGAGTCATTCCGGTGCGTAGAACCGGCTGTCGTGGGAATGGTTTGAACACGGTCGTGCTCAGTGGTTATTCGTTGTACTCCTGATGATGCTGCTGATAATGGTGAACATATTTACGCACATCAACAAAAAAAGTTTTAAAATAAACTTTAATTAAGTTCATATGTAAGTACATATGGATGTACATTAGAGTGGTCCAAAAACAGTAAAGGCGGAATTTTAATGCCGCCACCCCCTGGGGTTGTTCTATACCGAAAAAATACTCCTATTTTATTATTTTGAAATTAAAAAAATATTAAGGGAGTGCTCAAAGCGCTCAAAGCTTTCAACATATTTTATATGGGGCAAAAAACAAGGTTTCGTAGTAGAAGTAGTGTAGAATTCTTAAAAATCAATATTTTTGGCGGACCTATAATATATAGTTACCATGAAAAAATGGTTATAGAAATAATTGGGTATTGTGGCGAATACTGCCGCAACGCGAAGCGAACAACGAGAAATAGGCAGAATGTTCGAGGAATGACGTAGAATGTTGCACAAAGAGAAACCTCAAGTTGGATGAACACTGCGAACAGCGAGAGAAAGAGAATGAGCGATGAACTTCAGAACATTCTAGAGTTGCCATGAGTGCGAGCGCAGGTATATAAGAGCCACGACACAGCGGAGTGAGTTAGTTACAAGTCAGCAGGCTACAAGTAAAGTGAGTTGCGAATAAGCAAGTTTAATTGTGCTAACAAGTTTTGTAAAGCGTTGTAAATGCTTTAACGAGTATTGTAAAGTGTTTCTGCTGTATTAGCGAGTATTGTAAATTGTTGTAATAAAGTTAATTGTACTACAATTTGGTCATCGTGAGCATTTATTTAACAATCCAGCGATACGAGCCGTGAGATGTTTGGGAAATCCCACGAGGTTTCAAGGATAATCGCAACAGTATTATTATTGGGAATTTTCTGAAGAGAAACGGGGTTGTCCGATTGAAAAATATTGATTTTCGAGAATTCTACACTATTTCTACGAAAAGTTGTTTTTCCCCATATAAAATACAATGAAAACTTTAAGCGCTAAGAGCACTCCCTAAATTTTTTTTATATCAAAAAAAAAATGGGGAATATTTTTTTTCGGGGTAATTATCTAGGTGGGTTGGATCGTAGTAATAAGTTAACAAACAAAAAACTTTTTCACAATAGCACCTTTTTTATTCCCTTACTACACTCACACAAACGCACAAATTGCCCATATTTCACCATACATACAATAATAATACTTCATTTTAGCCATATATGTCATAATATTACCTACCAATTAGTTGAAAAGAAAAAAAGCAAAAAATGTGTTTAATTTATAGAAATGGCTACTTCGTAATATAATGAAAATGAAAAAATGTTCGGCTTCGGCGCTTTATTCAACAAAAAATTGATACATGGAAATATAATAAAAATTTGTAATAAAAAATCGCGCGATATATAATATAAAAGTTGATACTTCGTTATAAATGAGAATTGTTAACTATTTAGTTATTTCCACAGTTAATTATTGCACATAACAGTCTGAACTCCGTGTAAACATATTCAATATTTATTCCATTCAGGTTGAGTGGCAATACCGCACATCAGCAGGTGAATTTTGCGTTGAGCATGATTCAATAATGCTTGAAATACAATACCGGCGAACGGCAAACTTCGCCGAACTGGGCGATGCTGTCGTTCACCGTTCGCCCAGCTATTTCGCCTACTTAAACAGAATTAGAGCGGTAGCGAAAACAGCTGATCCCATTTGGTCGCCTTTATAATTTGGGTGACCATATTTAGAAAAAACTAAACCATATTTAGAAATGAGGAAATGATAACAAATATAAATGGTAAAACAAAGAAAGATTATTATAAATAATTTGTTTCAAGCCAGATTTAACGAATCCACAACTATATTTTTCAAACAACAAAAAAAAATCGTGTTTAGGTTGTTTTCTTTTAAAACTTTGAAAGCAAAAAACAAATACGGCCACCTTTGGCACGCACAGCTGTCAACGCCCAGCAGGGCGATAGAAATAAATCTATCGCCATGGAACGCCGCCAAGCGAACTTCGCATTTCGCTTTTGCTGTGTTCAATTTCATATGCTTGCGGGTGTTCTAATTTTGACAGCGCGAATTTCGCTGTGGTGAGTTCGCCGTTCGCCGGCATTGTATTTCAGCTATAATGAAAGTTTTTGTAAGAAAAACTTTCTCTCACTCTAATTTTATCAATGATACTCCCACCCTACTGCTAAAAACAAAAGCAGTGATATTTCTTTTCCAAATTTCTTTGCAAATTTTAGGAGCATTTTTAAAATTTTAATAGTTAATTTTTTACTTTTTAAATTTGAAGAAATGTTTGTTCTGCATTCGCTGGTGACATGGGTGAGATTCGTTGGGCTACAGCAATTCAATGTAGGCTAAAGAGATGAAATTTCCTTATGTGCCGAACATGTGGTTGTATTTGTCGACACTCGTGGATACCTATTATTACTGAAATGAAAATAAACTGTAATTTTTGTCTATGGAAACTCTTATTTCATGCATAATTACTTTACACCAGCCACGAGATGTCCCACCAGTCACAATTTGAAATATTTTTTAATATTGCTGTGAAGGTTATATAAATCTAATTTTTACTGAAATCGAAAACGTATAATTCATGTTTTACAACACAAAAACATCGTTCGTGAAGTTTAAGTGTTTTGGCTAAAAGTCATCTTTGAGTGCACAAGGGTAAAATAGAGTTATGTTCAGTGTCCCACCAGTCACACTCATTCAAATGATAGTACCATAAAACTACCCTGCAGTAATAAGGCGGCCAATATTGCGTAAAGGACTAGTACTTCACTGGTTAAAATTTGACTGGTCAGAATTGGACATTTGCTTGCATCGAAAATGTCAGCCTTCGACCAGGCCCCAAGGAACCGGCCTAGAGATAGACGAAAAGTACAGTTTGGCAGTAACAGGGTGGTGTTGTCTTGCAATTAAATAAAATAAATTTAGAGAACACCACCCTGTAAATGTCCCAATCGCTTGGTCTGGCCTTGATGCAAAGTGAACATTTGAACACACATTAGGGGTATTCTCTGAGTCTTGCAAAGCCCTTGCAAGGTGCACGGATTGCACGGTTTGCAAAGCTGTCCCATACGAAAACCGGTTTTTACCGTGCAATCCGTGCAATCTGTGCACCATGCAAGGGCTTTGCAAGACTCAGAGAATACCCCTATTTACATGCGTGCCTGTAGCTCAGTGAGCAGAGATTTTTGCCACTATTTGTTAGCTTTCAGGAGGGTTCGGGTTCAAATGCCGTTTTTTTGTGTGTTTCCGAATTACGAAAAAGCATCTGCGAATTGCAGAACGCAATCTTACTTCAACGAAAAAAATCTCCAAAATTGGACTAGTCCAGGACTATTTTACGGTCAGTGTTGATTGGGCCGGCCCTTTTCCAATGACATGCCAATGCCAAAAATGGCAATTGAAACCATTGGCAGGGGAATTATGAGGGACTAGTGCTGGTAACAATACGGACTATATTAGGGCTAACCTAGGGTGAGTCTGAATTCCTGCAGGGTAAGAAATCGTTTGGTATTTTTGTTAGGGCAATTTTAAACACTAGTTATCTTTCTAGGTTAAAAAATATCTTTCGCTATTGTATAAGTTCCGACGACATAGTTATAATTCACAATTGATTAAATTCTGGAGTTAAATTACCTACCAGTCACAATGGAATGGCCCATATAAAAAAAAGACTATAGCGAGTTTTGAAAAAGTAACTTTTACATAGCTAGCTTTTTATAGCTTTTCGCGTTCTCTCTTCCGTGAAGATTGGTCTGCTTCTTTTTTACGACGCCTTCCACTAAGCACCGAAACTACCACGTTTTTTTGTTGCAGTTTTCTAAGTTCATCAGAAGACGGAGATTTTTTAACTTGTATAAATACGTACAATAAATATTATAGTGTATACATATATACATATGTACATACAGTAAGTATTATAGCGACTTTCGCTAGAGTACCTAACATTTGATGCTATTTTTTTCAGAATATATAAGGACTTTGCACTGTAACCACCAAAAACTAAAAATCGTAAAAATTTTACATATAGCACTTTGCAAGTGGACTACTCAATTACCTTTTTCGGTATAGAGGGATCCTAGGGGGTGGCGGCATCAAAATTCCGACGTTACTTTTTCACATGCATTATTGCACCACTCTAATGTACATACATAGGTACTAAAGAATGGTCATCCACTCATTTAATCCGCACTTTAAAAATGCATCCACACATATACATATGTACATAATTATGTACACACATAAATAAGCGCGTATGTGTGTATGTGAAATTTATATGCGATTAAAATTTTTTCACCTTTTCGAACTTTTATTCTCTCCGATAGGACGAATTTGAGAGACAAAAGGAGCTTTTATTCTCTGAGCTGGTACTTTATCTTTAAACGCCCTTTTGTCAATACAATTTTTATATACTTTTGTATCTACTTGTTTTTACAAATACATATTTATGTAATTTACACTTCGTATCAAAATTTTCCCAATTTTAAAGTTTTGCCGATCAGAAGAATCTCATATATGTATATACTTTAATGCAAATATGTGCATACATTTGTAGGAGCACAGCACAAATATTTCGTTGTACATATGTATGCATGTATGTATGTATGTACATACCCAAGTATCGCCATAAAAATATGTATATATGTATGCACATATGCACATGCATATGGATGTGTGTGTAGGTAAAAATTTTCTCGACTTTTGTATACACAAATTTTGCTTACTTTTTTCCAACTTTTATGCGCTATTTAGTGCGACAACCAATGTACATCATGTGTATTTACATATGCATGTATTTCATTATCAATTGAATTGCAATTTTTAATTCGCTTCATCACTAAATATGTATACCGATGTGTGGGTATTTTTCACTTTGGTGTGTATGTATATGTTTGCACTTTCATTCTTTGCATTAACTATAGTTTATGGGTTTCTTTTGGAACACGAGCTCACGTTTAGTATATGTGCTTTAATTTAAGTTGCTAAATTAACTCTAACATTGAAATGTACACAAAGTGATTCAATTATAAAGATACTTGGTCGCAAAGTACATATTTTATATTTCTGCAGTATGAAAAATGGAGCGAATGAACCACCAATCGTAGACTCACGTAACGTTCGCCTCCCATTAATAAGGAACGCGTGTGAATTTATGAATAGAGCATAGAGCAGATTTCAGGTTCAAAAGCCGCCACTGTATACAATAAAAGAGCCTCTTTGCACAATTAGGTTCTCAGAGAAACGTAAAGAGTTGCCACTTTGCTGTTTACTATAGCGAATGAAGGAATTGTATTTTAAAGTTATATACGAAACTAGAAATAAGAAGGAATAGTCAAAATTTCCCACTTAGAATTAACTAATTGATTTATTGATTTTCAATATTTGAAAATCAAATTGGTTTATTTTTGCAAAACTTTCACAAAACCGAACTATAATAAACACTTCAAGGTGCAGTCCTAAGAATAGTGTATTGGTAACCCTGCTCCTTATGTAAGTACACATGTAGGTATGTATATGCATACTCTAATAAGTACGTGAACTCACATTTCATATTCACGGAACGAATGTATTTCTTTTCAAATACAATTAGTTTAGGATTCTCAATTTGTTTTACTGTCAATGGATGATCACCAGTGTTAGTTGATATTACAGCAAGTTTTGATTTTTCAGTTCGGAAACAGAAAAATCTACCTATTTGAGTTTGGAAACACTAATTTTGAACACGAACGCGCAAATGCAATGTTTTTGGACAGCACAAATTTTAGCGAATATTAAGAACGGTCGGTCGGCCTTTTTTATTTACTGCAAGTACATAATTCATATGTACCTACATACATCTGTATATTTATTAACAATATTTGAGGCGGCCACACACTAGACATTTCGTTTGNCAAAAGGTGAGGTTAAATTCGGTATTTTTTGCAACTTTAAATGCGAATTACTTTAAAACTATAAGCCTCCGGAGGGTGGGGTCTTCAGATTTAGAATCTGAAAAAGCTCCTTTATACTCCCTAATATTTTTTTTTTTTCAAAGCCTGGATCCGTTTTGGAAAATTTTCCCGTTTGACTAACTACGCTTAATTTTGACCGACAATACATATATTTCTTAGTCCGAAGATTACCCTCCTATTTCACTTTAAGCTTGGCCAGTTTGCATATGTTCTTTGCGATTTTACTTAACATCAACTTTCTTTTAATTAAGAAACAGCCATCACTAGATTTCCACTAGTAAGATGTCAATACACAAATAAACCAACAATTTTAATCGGGAGCAAATTGGTGTATGTTACAAAAGATTTAGCTATTTGTAATGTACAATGTCCACACTTTGTTGTGCTAATGTTGCCATTCTAAAGTAGTGATTTGTTGCGAAAAAACAGCTGACTTCCGGTTAGTGCATTTGGTCCCAAACCGATTCCGGTAGTGCATTTGGTCCCAAACCGATTCCGCAAAAAAAATCCCAATATAATATCCCATGTAACTGTAATTCTTCCATAATTCCAATTAAAACTGAAAAAAACGAAAAACTGAACCTGCCAATATACATATACACTTAGGCCCCTTTTTACGCGGTTTTTTTGGCGGATTTGAATTTATGCAGTTTTCAAACCATTATTTCGCAATAGCGATTTTGCTGTTTTGAGAGTTTTTATTACTTTTTTTTCAGCGTGTAAGGGACAGAGCTTCTGATAAATAATTTATCTTTGTATTCTTACATAATTCCCCACTGTGAAGTTGCTGGTAAGGTATTGCCCTTCACCCGGCGGTCCTTACCACTTCCCTGCTGAATCTCCATTATTTAACAAAGACGTGGCCGCCTTATGTAAGTNAGCCTGTTGCCTCACTCTTTCCTCAAGAAATAATGGAACGGGCATATATTTCTGTTGCAAACCTGGGTTGCCTTGTGCTCTTTTTTCACAAAAAACTTTAGAAAACCGTAGTAGAAAGCGTAGTAAATTTCTTAAGAACTGCGTACTGCCGTAAGGAAATTTGACTCAAGAAAATTTCTTAGCCATTTCTTGTACGTCACTTTATATGGAGTTTTTGCTTTTCTTAAGAGCTGGATACTAAGCTTTACAAAGTAAGCTAGGTGTAATACAGAGCAGTCGCTCGGAGTAGTTCGGCGCTTGAAAATAACTTCGGCTGCACGTTATTTTGCAACTGACAATGTAATGTGTCATCGGAGGTGTTCATTTTGTGTTTTACTAGTAGATCACATTGGCCATGATGACAATTTTGGTACTAAAAACTGAAAGAAAACATGGCTTACCTCGAAAGGTGCTTACCTATTTTCCCAGTGGGTCATGTATTTATTGTGCTATTTTTTTTTTTAATACAGACAAAATTTTTATTTATTTGATTAATATTCAGTTTAGCATGAAATAATAAGTGTTGAAGTGAAGAAATAAATAATTTGTTTGCTTAATAATGCCTCACTTGATTTTTTTTGCGTTTTTTTTTAGAATTTTTTACATGGAGTATCTGAATTTATGCGGTTTTCGGAAATGCTGGAACGCATCCCCTGTTTTTGTATGAAAGTAAGGAACTTTCTTATGCGGATTTTTTTATGCGGCTTTCTGAGGAACGCATGTACCGCATAAAAAGAGACCTAAGTGTAAATGTAATATAAGTATTGTTACCAAAATAATAAATGAGCTCGAGAACGCGAAAGTGTCGCGTGCAATGTTGCAGTAATAAGAACGATACGCGGTTTTTTTTCGTTCCCCAAAGACGCAAGTGAAGTGGCCGAATGGAGGAGGAATCTCCGCATCATGGATAATCATCCGCCGTACAACTCCTTTTTGTGTGTGGATCTGTGGGTCAGATATTTCTGAAACCAGGTGCTATCCCAACACCTAAATTGGCTGAGTAAAATGAGCGAAAACATACTACATACAGTGAGTCAAATAGGTACCTTGTATAATGTATAAGATTCTCAATCTCAATTTCCACACTCACAGTAATCTATGGTATTTTTACATAATCGCAAATAGTGCTTATTTCTTCATGGTTAAAGCCCAAAATACAATAGCGCAGTGGCAGTGGCAGCGGCAGTTTTTCGAAATCAGCTGTTTTTTTAGAAAGTGTGGCAGTGGCAGCTGGCAGTACTGCTCCGTTTAGCCCACATTCTAAATTCACTGCCACTACCTTCATCGCAGACATGAATGAAATGCAGCCAACTTCTGTTGATGCCACTGAAGCCTAAAAGGCAACAACAAAAATGTAAACAAACAAAAGTGAATGTCAAAAAAAGTCACTGACAACTGTCAACGCCGTATTGTATTTGCTGCGGCAGTTACTGCCAATATTAGCAGTAACAGCTGATTTTAGAAACTGTCACTGCCAATGCCACTGCGCTATTGTGTTTTGGGCTTTAAGGTCTTCTTTCGGAATGTAAATATATATTTTCGTACTATATTTCGAAGAACGGTTTACACGCAAACCTGGTAGAGATTTTACTTCGAAATATCGACACCTTTAAGATATCGGGTTGACTGTCAAAGCGGTCATTTGCGACCAAGCTGCCAACTGTGTTTCTTTATTTAATTGTTTAAATTTAATTGTTGTAATTAAAACAATTCGACGTACTATAATTAAAGATGACATTGAAACATCCGACGGCATGCGAGTATTACAGTAATCAGGAAATTGTTCGAGATAGATAAATTAAACAATAATTGTAAAGTTTGTCCGAAATTAACTCTGTCTCATTTATTCACAGAACCGCAAATTTAAAATTAAATATTTAGTAAAAATTCCCCGCAAGTTGACATCGCTGCTAGCAGGTTACTGGATATTTTTTTGCTAAATGAATATGCGTGCTGACGCTGAAAAAATTAGTTCCAGCGGGAATACATTAGCTAACCAAGGTCCTCTAACTGTCTAAGTAACTCTCATCATTCCCGACGTGTGGAAATCGCTCCACCGGACGCCAGCGAAGAGTCGGAATGCTTTCCGCAAAGGGCACAGAAGCACCACCGCACTTAATGCCATAAATAATCAGGTAACCACAATCGCCCCTGTGCGAGAACAGTGCTAGTAAAAATGGATCTGTCCAACGAGTTTGACACCGTATATCATTCCACGCTACTAGAAGACATAGAGCTCTCCTTTCTCCCACAGAGCCTCAAACGGTGGTCAGCGAATTATCTGAGTGGTCGAAAATTGTCAGTCATCTTCACAGATAAAACGTCAAAACCAACAATAGCCTCCATTATCCCACACACTGTCGAGTTTGCGATTGTTCCATCGTCTGCCCGGGATCCCGGCTTTTTTAAGGTCCCGAAAATCCCGAGTTTATTTGCCAAGATTTGTAATTTGCACTGATGGTAATAATAGAAACTCCTTTTCTTGACCAGTATTGGTTATATTTCTTTGTTTATTTAATAGTTAATATTTTTTATAAATGTCTAGCTCATTGTGCATATAACACCACAGGATAATAAATTCAAAACACAAATATCAATATATTCGCGAAACCATAGAAAATTGCTTTTTGAGGTTTCCTCTCTGACGCCAGTTATTCAAAATTGATTTAAAATAATTCAGACTAACATGCGTAGAGAAGACGTATGGGTATCAAATTAAAGAAGAGATCCTATAGAATTTAAACAGATTCAAGTTTTTGGTGCAGAAGGACTGGTAAGTAATTTAAAAAAATTACACTGAAGGTGGCACAACGCCGAAACCGGTTTGTCTCCAAACCAAATTTGACAAGGGATGACGGAAAATCGTTCCACATTACATCACACTCCTACCCTGTCGGAAACACCAACAACGAAAATGAGAATTAAAATTTCCTTTTAAAATTTCATGCTTGAAATTTTGCAATATTTGTTTTTGAAAAAATTATATGTTAAAAAAACCCCACTTTAAATAAAACTGTGTTTCACATCCATTTATTTATTATTTATTTTATGGTAGCAGAGCTTTTCAAACAATATAGAAGCAATTTTTTCGATTTAAGTTATTGAAAAGTATTGACTATCTAAATCCCGGGACTATTCCCGGGATTATGATAACGGCGCCCCGAAAAACCCCGGGATCGGAAAAACTGAAAAATTAAAATCCCTAGCCCGTACGTACTCCGCAATATCTTTCTCTCGAACACTTCAAGAGCCACCTCATCGGATGTTTTTCATTTTCCGTGCTTCTGCACCA